TAGTAGTAGTAGTAGTAGTAGTAGTAGTAGTAGTAGTAGCAGTATTTGGGGTACGCGGTAGTTGGTTGAAGCACTATGCAACAAACCGGGAGGTTGCAAAATTTGAGCCCGCCTGGTTCTATCGTCTTTCCCCTCAAGTTACTCACCGCTATAGCTACATTTGTACTTTAGACAATTCAAGTCTACATTCTCTAAGTAAACGGAGACATTTTCTTTATCCGGTTTTTTAGTTCGGGATTATCGTGGCCTTAAATCCTGCTCTTCCCTGTAGGAAAATATTAGTCTCCGTGTAGGTGTTTCTTAATATATAATCTTGGTTCCCAGATTCAAGTGACAGAATATATTACAATGCACTCTGGGAAAATAGGTTTTAAAGATTCACAATTAACTGAATTATTTCATAATATGACCAAATCATAAGCTTTTAGAAACGTGACGATCGAAAATAAGATTACATGCAGGAATATCCAGACTAACACGGTGGACTAATGGTCTGAAGTTAGCAACGGGTCTCCATGCTACAATAAAATAAGAGACTCATATTATATTATAATGAGAGTAGATGTTTTAAGTAAATAATCTTTTAAAATTATGCAGTTATATATCTAAATATCAATAAATTTATGAGATAGAAGTCACTTTCCGTTTGGTGAAATCAAAGTGAGTTTCAAGAGCGTTTCTTACGAGTCGATTAATTAGATTACCTTAAATTTCAATCAGAAGTTATTACTGATTTTAATCGCTGTAGTAACTAATAATGAGGAATATGCTCTTTGGTGGAAGAAATCTCTTAACTGATAATGACTATGAGTGCTTCGATCATCTATCTGCTGTATTTAACAATATAAAGGATTAATCCAAATTGTTCCTGCTTTATTTGAGACAGCTCCACGCGTGTTCTCTGCTAGGTTTGCAAATCACACAGGTATATGTTAGAGGAGGTCTGAGCAGAATTTGGCCAAAGAAAACAATTGAGACTATAAACAGTGGCTCATAGGTATACAGAGAAGGAAATTAACCGGTAAAGATAGGTTTGTGCTGATCTCTAGAAAGAATTTCAGGCAATCAAGGCCTCCTCATGCATTAGGCATATAAGACGACGTAAACCTCAAGTTGCTATTGAATTTCACGCCAATGATTCTAATGAAGTGCAGATCACCAAGTTGTTTGCTGCATAAATCAAGGCATGGGGGGATTAGGAATATTCACAGAGGCAAATTGACAGTGTTTACACTCCAGTTCTGACACAGAAAAATGTGACTCGCGAAAGAGACCTAGTGGCTGCAGAATGAGGTCATGTTGTCTCTTTCTTTTTCTTCAGCGCTTTTTTTTTTTTTAATTCGTATAGTGGTGAGTGGAGTCCAGCTAGGTCTAGTCGTCACATCGACCACTGATTGGCCTATTGTATCTGCCCCGGGTGATTATGATGATGGAGAATTTGGTGGAATGAAGATTGGCAGGGGAAGCAAAAGTACTCGGAGAAAACCTGCCCCAGCGCCATTTTGTCCACCACAAATCCCACTTAACCAGACCCGGGCTCGAACCCGGTGGGAAGCCAGCGACTAACCGCTTGAGCTATAGCGGGACCATTTTGTATGCATTAAGTGTTTCGCTGCAGTTACATTCTCCTAGAATTTCTTTACTTTTATACTTGGCCGAACTGTGCCGGTGGTATGATGTGAAGTATTGCGTATAGGCAATTACACGAGTATAAGACAGTCCAGTTCATAAGCATGAATGGAAAGAACGTGACTATTTATATCTGATGTTTACAATCCTAAACAGTTTTAAAGATATGCAAGGTAATTCTTTTTTTTATATGTAATTCGGATGAGATAAAGGTGAGGAAGGAGTCAGCTTCTGAAATAAAAATTAGATTTTGTAGAAAAATTCTGTAATCCCCTTTAATTACAGCCTTGATATATAAAGTAAATATTGCATAGGAAGTAAGAGAAAGGACAGTGTTAATAAATACCATGTACGATTTCAGGTGTTCACGGCGGTGACTATGAAGAATGCCGTCTTCTGGGATCTGTCGCCGTGTAGATCTTATGTAAACCGACGTTTCGGAGAAACTTTTCGCCACCATCTTCGTGGTAGAAAAATCCGCGAGCGAGGAACCAGCGTGAGCAGGTAGCTGCAGGCTGCAGATTTTTATCCTGAAGTTGGAGACGATACGTTCCTCCGAAACGTCGGTTTACACAAGATCTACATGGCGCCACATCCAAGAAGACGGAATTCTTCTTAATAAATACCGTTTGTAGACTTTTTCTTCCATAATATGGACGATTTTTGAGACCTGGGACTAGTCTGGAGGACTATATAACGATTGCCCTTTGAAAACGGTGTGTAAGAATATGACTGTATTCAGCAAGTACATAATAGCTCCCAACGGCGGGCTCTTAGAGCTAAAGCAATAAGCCTTTAGTTCTGCGAAAGCAAGAATTCATTGACCATACTATTTCCAGGGCGTGAGAGAATAAAACAAGCAATTAAATTAGGATAGTATGTAAGGAGGATCTTCGAAATTTACACAATTCACTAATGTTATTCGATTAACGAAACCAGGGAGATTACGGG